GTACCAGATGTGAAAGGAATTAAGAAAACATATACATGTGTAAACAAAAAATACAAACAAACAAAAAATTGCCAACCAAAACAGGAAACGCACAATTTTTTACAGAATTTTATACAGAAAGAAAATTTAGCTTTTATATCAAGAAAAAACGGAAAACACTTAATATAAAATTTGCATTGCCCTGAGGAAAAGCTTAAGTGGTGCGGCGGCAAACGCTCGGTAAAAAAAAAACGGAGATCTTTGCAATATGAAGTGCTAACTAACGCAAACTGGCGCGTCAGAATTTTAGGAAAATCTTACTTTAAATATTCCATATCGCTGATGAAATGTAGAATAGCCCGAACGCAACAAAGATTTAGTTTTGAGCTCAAATTGCGATTAAGTTGAAAAATAAGGTAGTTCTCGAATCTCCAACGTGGTTTCTCAACCGTATCTCAAGTGGAGAATCATAGCGTTCTCAACAAAAAGGGCATTTTCTTTGTATGTATGAAAATAGGATGGTTTCTCAACTTAAGAAAAAGTTAGTTTCTCAATTTGAACTCCAATGTAATTCTCCAATTGGTCTCAAACATATCATCGAAACGACATAGACAAATTTAGGGCCTTTCTACAAGGTGTCGCAAAAAGAATAACCCTATTTTCTTTTAATGTCGTTTCAAAAATAATTCAAGTACAGTTATTTTTTAAGGGAATGTTGAGTAATACCACAGAAAGTAGACTTGGGCTGTCAGGTCGGGCCATCTCACTTCAACCGAAATCTCCTAATCGAGAAATTAAACGGCCTAGAAAAGTGTTCCTCAACAAATTTTCCGCGTTCCTAATTATATTCACCACCAACTGCAAAAGTTTTAATGTCTTCAAATAGAGTTACTCATTTTGTGCCACCTTGTATCTTTAATCAACGATAGTTTGTTACATTTTGGTCAAAACTGAATAAATGCAATTTGTGCTTTTTTATTGGGGTTTCTCATTTCAAACAAAAATGATGGAAGTGTAATGCTTTCCAATATTTTGTTAGAGTAAATGATTCGGTATAAATACAAAGGAGATGCATATCTTAAAACAAATATGGAGAAGCAACTTGGTCCAAAGCAATAACATCAGTTTGTCAGTGACATATAAGAAGAAGAAGAAGTGCCAAAATAGATGGGTCAATCCACATACATAAATTGGACTAATATTTGGAATCGACCATTTTTGATTTGGATGAATTTTTGTCAAAACTTTTTTTTTCGTCATATAACGGGGTTCCTCCAAAGAAAAATATACATATACAAAAAATGTTGAAAGCTCAAAATTTTCACGGATTTTGCAAGTCCATTTCTGAATATCTCAAAAAATAGTATAGTTACAAAAAATGTCTGGTCTCCGTTTAAGGAAGCATTTGGGGCTTTATAAAAACATACATATGTATATAATTCGGAAAACAAAAAAATACAGAATTTTGCAATTTTAAAAAATTTTAAAAACAAAAGCTTATATACATTTATGGCCAAAATATTTTTATATAATAACTCAACAATCTTAAAAGATTCTGAATTTTTCAGGAAGGTGTTTTTTAAGATATAAATTTTTGAACTAAAAAAAAACTTTCCCAAACACCAAATTAAAAATATATTTGAATTATATTGCTAAACATAACTTTTTTTTGAGTTTGCAAATAAAAATTTTTTTCAAAATTCTAAATTTTAGGTATATTTTTAAAAACACCTTCTTGAAACTGTTATGACCTTTTACGATCAGTTGGCGGTATTGCGTAAAAAAATGTTGCCAAATTTTTTCTTCAGTTTTAAATGGTAAAGTTCTATGGATATGATTATATATATATATATAAATATCACTTTTAAAACGACACCAGTAACATATTTTTATATAGTTTTCGAGATATTCAAAAAATAAACTTTCAAATCACGGAAATTTTGAAATTCAGATTTTCCATTACTTACGGAATTTTTGTTTTATATTTGGCAGAACTTTTTTTTATGATAAAAGAAAAGTTCTGATCAAAAATGATCGATTGCAACCATTGGCCGATTTGACATAGATTAACCATAAATTTTAGCACTTCTTCTTCTTATTTGGCGCCACAACAGTTTGTCGATTTGTGCCGAGACCAGGAAAACTATGCCAATTGTCTCTCTCTCTTGTGCGAGGTTGCGACCGTTGTTCCTCCCGAGATTATTTTAGAACGGAATAGTCAAATTTTTAGTTGAATATATTTTACGAAACATGCTTTAAAACTATACGTATATTTGCTGTTCATCAATTACTATAGTTCAGTAAAAGTTTCAAAACTTGCAAAAACAATGTTCAAAAACAGTTTTTTTTTTTTTTGAAGTAACCATATCAATTTCCGTTTGCCGCCGGGTTGCCGTACCCGCTTGCCTGAATGTGGTGCGCCGAGTTATGATGAAAAGCCAATTTCGTGAATCCTTCCGTTGCGAAAATTTTTTACAAATTAAAACTTATAATGAATAAAGTTAATATATGTTCATAAGTACATACATACATATACACATACATATATGTACATTTTAAATAAAAAAGTTTGGTAATAAAATTTTGAAACGTTTATGTAGTATATTTTAACTAATATTATAGATACATACAAAAACAAAAAAAAAAATTTGCAATTTTATTGATCATGCGTGAATATTTTAAAAGCTTTTTTAGCAATTTTAATCAGAAAATCCTCCATTATATGCGTACGTATTCCTATTAAAAATTATAATCTAAATTTTATATGTATATCGATTATAAGTAATATTTATCAAATACATACATACATACCTATATGCAAACATAAGAAATATTGAGCATATACATGCATAAATACATATGTATGTATTTATGAAGTCAGACTAACACTGACTGCGAAAATTATAACAATAAGCGCAAAGCTTCAATTAATATCCAACAGTGTAAACGCGAGCAACAAATTTGTAATAATAATTTATACAAAAAAAGTGGTCGACAGACCTCTTTGTACTAAATAGAAATGCAATCTCTTAAATGAAATTATGTTCCATATAATTTGCAGAAAAAGCGCTTTCAAAAGCAAGTTTGCAATATTATTGTGTGTTTAATTAACAACAAAAAAAAAAAGTTTGTTAGAATTTTTTAACATTTTATTTAATATTAGTTTATTATGCATAAAAACATTATTTAAATTACTGCGCAACTCTTATGATATGTAGATATTTGCTCAATTTAAATTAATATTTTATGTTCCCTTAAATATTTTTTTTTTATATACAAATTAAATTATTTCTCTTTTTTACAAAAACATTTTAAAGTAATTTTTCATATCATGGAATTCGGCTATGTTTGTGCATATCAACTTTCTGCTGTAGTTATACATACATACATATATGTATGTCCATATGTACATATATGTACATACATACATACATATAGCTTAGTTAGTTTTCATTTTCATTTTAATTTCACTTGTGTTGCTCATGTCACTCATTAATTGCATTTTAGTTAATGAATTTAAACAATTTCAGCTGGTTTTGTTTCCCTTAAAAAAATGTTGTGGAGAACTTCATTAAACTAAAATCTATCGAAAACTGTATTTATAATTAGGAAGGAAAACATGTGGTTATAAAGATAAGCATTAAAAAGAAAGAGCAAATGTGAAACTAAAACACGATATCAATATCAATAAAGGACACTTATTATAATCATGTATTCATAATCTAAAAATTTAAAATTCTTTTACTTCTTGGGCAAAACTGATGAAATCGTATCTGTGCAAAATTGGTTTTTTTATGAATCATCATAATAAGTATGGCCGCTGTAGCCAAATTTGCATACTTACCCAAAATCTTTCTAAAAATTTTAACTATGCGGACGACATAGTTTATGCCTATTGGAAAAAGGAGTTTACAACTCAAAGGGGGTAATTCCACCTATTATGTTAGAGGCAAACGAAAGGAAAATAACAAAAATTAAGAACTAAACCTTGCCGATCATCCCATTTTACAATTATTGTAACTTAATTGCAGTTAAGCCTATGGTGGAAATACGCTATAGCACCAGGAGGAGTAGATATAGAAATGTGCATCGAAATGAAATATGTAGCGGTCATTCTTGACAACAAAATGTTATGGAAAAAGCACGTAAAGTACATACGCTGTCACGAAAGCCAAACGAGCTTTAGTGGTATGAAAAAGAGTGATCGGATGTAGAGTTCCTATATGCCGCGGTGGATTTACACGAGGGCCTGGAACCACAGCCTCAAAGGTGGTGCACAGATGGCTGCAAAACTAACTAATGTATAGGGCAGGTATATATGGTCGTAAGGCTATGATCTCCATTCAAATTGGAAACTATTCTAGCATCATTCAAGCAGAGGTTTAAGCCAGTAATATTTGTCTAGACGTAATTATGAAAAGATATTTAAGAACACAGCACTTTGTCATTTGCAGCAACAGTCAGGCTGCGCTAAAAGTCACATCTTCATGTGCGCGAATGGGTATGGGAATTGTGTTGTGAGATTGAACATTTTAGGGGAAGAAAACTCCATACAGGAAGGGTTCCTTGCTGTAGAAATATGTACTATAAAGGAAGAGTTAGGAATACCGGATACTAAATGCGGCAGGCGAAAAACCTTTTAGGAAGATGAAATCCCAAAAGAACTAGTGATCTAATTACCATTCCAAAGACAATTTTAAGATATATAACAGTTGAACTGACGGGTCATTGCAGGCTGCGAATCCACATGAAAATCCTCGCAATTAGCGCAGACGAATTGTGTTGCTCCGGTGAAACAACATCAGAAGCTCGACAGTACCTCCTTCTAGAATGCCGTGCTGTTGCGAGAAGAAGATAAACTCTTCTGGGAGAGCTGTGGTCAGAATCTAAGCACATTCACTCTGTGCCTACCCTGAAACTGCAAGGTTTCATTTGGGCGCTAGGGCTGGACGCGTAATAGACCTTAGGTCGCTAAGAAGGCTAAACAATCATAAATAAATATTAACCAACTACTAAAATGGAAAATATTATTATATTTATTTAGAATTACAGTCTAAATATATACTTACATATGTATGTGAAAATCATTTGAAATAAAATCAATTTATTTATAGTTTAATTAAAACTTATCCAAAGAGCTAAAAATCAATACTAAATACATTAGAAAATATATATTTAAATTTAGTAAACCCTTATGAGTACTACCATGTATGCACATACTACATACAGAGCATGGAAATGATATTTTGAAAATCGCAATACCAGTTTTACATTTAGTTTTTGTCCGATGGTTACTGCATCTGACTAAGCGCATGCGTATATACAGGTGTATTCTCACCCCAACCACGCTTGATAATATGCGGAATCTTCTTCGGCACCATGCTGCAAAATTTTAGATTATACATACATATGTATATAGAAGATCTAATAACACAGTGAATTGCTACTCACCTGATGCAATCAATAATGGGGCAAACACTAACACACAACGTACAACCGGTGCAATCATCGGTGACATGTGGTATATGCGTCTCGGCATCGAATTGTATGGCCTGATAGCCGGAGTCATTGCACGTCATATAACATTTGCCGCAATTTATGCACATATCCTAGGTACAAATCAAAAAAAAAAAAAGTTTTTACATTTTCACTTTAATAATTGCAATCGAAGTACAGCAATCTTACATCATCGATTAATGCCACTTTCTGTTGCTTGTTGTCCAATTTTTTATAGGCGCCAATTCGATTCAAGGCGCGACCTATAATATCGTTTACGCGGAGTGCAGGTGCAAGCGCACCTGATGTCGCAGTTTCCTTTTTAGCATTCCATAAGGGACCATTCTTGACTCTGCCCTCATATAGTTTCTCTTCTCGCTGCTTCTTGTATGGGCCAAAGAATCCTAAAGTCTGTAAAATTAATTATAGCATCGCGACGTGAACTTAAGTAGTTTTTATGCTCTCCTTCCTACCTTGTTATCGCCATTCGTCAAGTGCACCACCGGCTTGCCCTTCTGATGTTTTGGTGTTGGTGGCGATTGTCCATCCCATAGTTGATGATTANTGCTCGCGATGACAATCTGGTTGGGAAAGTCCCGCTTGAGTTCGCGTATCGAACGGTACCAGTATTCTGCGCGTTTCTCCGAAATCAATTCAATGTTGAGAAAAGCACCTTGCTGCGGGCCATAATTATAGCCCGCGGTGGTGCCACGCACAATACGTGGCGATACATTGGTGACCAGATCTTTGTCAAGCCCGAATGTTTTTGTAACCACAAAGCCCCAACCCTGCTCGAAAGCGCGTCGGCACATAGCTGAACTTGTTGTTGGTGGTGCGGATGCTAATCCAAAAGGATTAGGGAATCTGAGTGTATGTTTTTCTTTTTTCCCTGTTTCCTTGTCAGTGCGCTGGTACACTAAATCAACCGTTAGGTCGACGTTATCGATGTCAGTGTAGAAAAGTGGTAACTCAGGCGGAGTATCGAGTGACAGTCCCTGCAGTTGACAATGAATGCTCCAAGCGGCAATTTTGCCATCGTTTACAGACTCAACTGTGGTATTAGCTTGTCCACCCAAATCGCCACCACAAAAAACTTGCGGTATGCTAGTTTGTAAAGTCTTTGGATTCACTTTGGGTAGGTTCCACTGATCGAGCTCAACTGGTTTAATGGCCTCAATGATTTCTGTGTCATTCAAGCCAGAGCCGAAGGCCGAAATGATATAGTCAGCCTTAAGGGTTGTAGGTTGATCTCTATCTACAATTAGTTGGCCGCTGTCATCGATTTCGGTACGGAAGAACTCCATCGCACGTATCTGTAGGAAGAAAGCAAAAACAAAAAAAAATTATATTCCTTTTAAATTATTTAATATCCCTTAAGCTCACCTTATTTTCCTTGACGATAACTTTGCTAGGCGCCAAGAATGGTAGAAACTCGCACCATTCTTCGCGCGCCAACTCCACCTCTTCGGGCACGGCGCGCATGCCGGTAGTGCCCCGACGGAAGATGACAAAAACGCGTTTGGCACCACAACGCCAAGCGGAAGTGGCGCAATCGAAGGCGGTATCACCAGCGCCCAAAACGATAACATTACCACTCAGCGAGGGTAGAGGTTGGCCGGCCTTACATGCACATAATCCGGGCTTTGAACCTACCGATACGATAGGCAAGAAATTTTTAGATGTATAAAAGCCCATAGACTCATTTAAACCAGCAAAAACTGGATCCACGTTTGGTTCTGGCAAACCGATGCCCAGAAATAGGGCGTCGTGACCAGTTGAAAGCAAATCCTGCAATTGAAGGCACACACAAATGAAGTTTTTTTTTTGAATTACACGCATTAGAGTAGACTTACGTTTACGGTCAAATCCCTAGTCGACAGACTGCGGTTCAACTCAAATTTCACACCCAAATCCTCAACTAATTGAATCTCAAAATTAAAACATCAACAGGTAAGCGATATTGTGGAATCTCAGATGAACTCAAGCCGCCCAAGAAAGAGCGTTTCTCATAAATCGTTATGTTCTTATAGCCCAAGCGTGCTAGGAAAGTGGCGCAAGAAAGTGAAGCGGGTCCACCACCTAAAAGTGCAATTTTTTTATTTGGCTGCGGCAAGGGTTGTACATTAGGTGGCACTATTTGACGCACACCCATCTCCTTGAACATCTCGGTTGCAAATTGCTGCAAACCACCAATATTAATGGGTCCTTCTTCCGACGCCTGCAAATTGCAACCACCAACGCACAAATCGCTAGTTGGACACACCATACCGCAGGTCAAACCCAGTGGATTATCTGAAAATATAGCTTTTGCGGCGCCATAGTAATTTTTATTGGCAATACTGGTAATGAAGCTCTTGATGTCCAACTGAGTGGGGCATGATTTCTGGCAAGGTGCGTCGGCGCATTTTAGGCAACGTGCTGCCTCTTTGAGAGCGCCTCGCTCAGAGAGAGTGGTGTGCTTAACATCATCGAAGTTATTCAAAAGCTTCGAGCAGCCCTAGAAGGAGATGGAAAATAAAATTAAATTCCAATAGAATAATTAGGTACTTACGGTTGGATTGCGATCATTGTTACGCTTCCAATGCTTTTTGTTGATCTTCGTTTCAGCCGTTGGTACAACCGTACATTGTGTCTTGACACGAGGATTTAAGGCCATCAGACTCTACAGTTTGGTGCGTAAAAGGATATAAACAAATAATACAAATGTTCCTACATACATATATACATATGAAGGATAAGATTATTACCTACCTCGATATCTGGTATCTCCTTGCTAAGTAATGCCGGTGGTGCCATGGCTTAGTTTTTATATAAATCTGAAATCTAAAAGAATAACATTTGAAAGAGCTTTTACTAGCGATTTAAATCTCAGGCCATAGTGATCACCATTTCACGATAATTTTAACCCAAGAAAATTTCTCTTTTAATATTTATTATTGGATTTCGAGTAAAATTTTTCTTAGAAACAGAGAGTATCTACATCTTTGGAGATTTTTCCAGACTAAATTTTAACGGCTTAAGTAGATTTTCTGGCTTTGTAAACATATTTAATACAGACGAGGCAACCGTTGAAGCAACGTGGTGAGGCAACTTATTTTTCATGTTCAATATACACGGGACAACCGTAGTGGCAATGGTTGCGGCAACCTCAGAACTTTGTTTGCTTTTGCTGAATGGCCCCTTCGTTGAAATCGAAAAAGATTAATATTTCTGTTGTAGATGTCTGACATTTCAAGAAAAAGTGTAGGTGTACCTTAAAGTATATTACTAGAATCGAGACGATAATAGCCCGAGACATCCCTTTTAGAATTTTGTTTTACTAAAATATGTAGCATCACGTAGGTGTAATGAACTTTTTAGTAAAAGATCGCATTTACATATTTATATATATCGTTGATGTTTTGGCAAAACCGCCCATCGACCAATTGCAAAACCGCATATCTTGCGGCACTCAAATTTTACAGGAGAGCTAAAAAACGGGTTTTCCTTGAAGGCATTGCCTTGATAGCCGGTATTTTCTCTAGCTATTATTTTACAAACCTGTTGTTTTAATAACGATTTAATGATTTTTATGCATAAATAACGATGCCTGGAGTTCAGGGTTACCAAATCTCATTTTTGTCACAACGGCGATTTAGGCAGTTTTGCAACTGGTCGATGGGCGGCTTTGCAAATACATCGAAAATATAGATCTTTCTTTCTCATATTACAAAATAATTTTTTTTTGTAGATAGGCTCCTCTGGCCTTCATGCCCTCATATAATAAATCAGCAAGCGGTATTCATTCCTTGTGATAATCGTTCACTTAATTTGGAACATGGAACATTTGGAACCAAAGTCATAAGCCCAATGTGCAGTCATAAATACAAAAGGAGTATTCACGATCCGGTGCATACTGTCTGGCATGGTGCATAGATAGCATAAATAAAATGATTGGGTAATTTTGTTGTTGTTTCATGTGTTCAAACAACAACAAAATTAGCCAATCATGCTCTCTATGCACCATGCCAGACAGCATGCACCGGATCGTGAATACCCCTAATGTATCATATATGTATATTTATGTATTTGCAAAATATGTACGTAGGTACAGGTGCACGCAATTTTTAGTAGTTATCATCATCGCACATACAATACATACGTACACATGAATGTACCTACGTACATACATTTTACATTAAAGCAAACCACTTACCGGCTGTAAAGTTATCCGCTCATCTGGCACACGAAACTGTTATTTCAATAATTTGGTCTATTTACCAAAGATTAGGGAAATGACACCAATAAATTTTACTGGCAGCGAGTGTCAAGTGCAAAGTGATAAGCACAGTAAAAATTTGATATATAAAAATTAAAAATTTAGAAATGTTTGGTAAGTATTTCAAAACAAATGTTTGGTCAGGTTACGCAAAGAAAAAAAATACAAAGGAACTTTAAACTCATAAACTAAATATGTAAGAAAAATTAAAATAAATATCTATCTTTCAGTATGAGGCTTTTAGTTAAATTATTATTTCGGTACCTTATTAACTAGATAGAGATAACAATTCGTTATATAAAGACTTTTCGCATTGTTTATTTAAAAATAATCAAGTTTTATTGTGTTTTACGTTGTAGTATATATACATTAGGGCGGGTAAATTTGTATGGGAGCCTTTTTCGAATATGCGCGTAGAGCGCAGAAGGTTTCTACGTGTAATTCTAAGAAAATTTATCGACGAAACCACGGATCTAAAATCAATTAGAGTTTGCCAAATTTCGAAAAAAGGTTTCTTAGCATTTTGCTGTGTGGTGTCGTAAAGAATTTTGTATAAAAACATGCTATACCCCTTGTATTTTGGTATGAGGAATCCATTTCTGCACTTATCCTTTGCTTAAAACCTCCATCGGAGGGCGCAACAGTGAGAATTATCACATTTTCTTCGAAACCTATTTTCGCAATTTGGCAAACTTTAAATTGATCTAAGACCCACAGCTTCTTTGGCAAATATGCTTAGAATTACACGCATAATCCTCCCATGCTATACGCGCATAGTAAAAAAAAACAAAAAATTAACCGCCCTACCCGCCCATGGTTACATGGTTACAAAGTTTCAATGTATTAAGGTTTCACTGTATTTACTTAATGGTACATTGTCCTAAAGCTTAAAGCAACTGTGATCGGCAATTAACATGACAGTTCAATATAAGAATATTAGCTTAGACACGCAAGTGACGTCAATCAAAATAAAACTTAGGAATCATGCGTTTTCGGGAGGGAACAAAAAAGGCGACAATTGTTTTTTAGTTATACACCAAAACCAATTAACTAAATTTTGGCAGACCAATTTTGTTTTGGTTGGTGATAAGCAGATTTGCTTTCAGAATTTAATGAATAACTTTAATAATGGAATAAATTAATATAAAAAGCAGATAAGAAGATGAAAGCATTAAAGTGCGCAGTAAGTACTACATACGTACATATTAGCCATCTATGTACATACATACGTATCTGCTTATGCGCTTCTGTATACATAAATACTAAACTCATTTACAGATTTTTAAGGTTCTTTTATTTGTTCAATCGAAACTTGTTGATTTTGCATACATATCTCTCTCTCTCTCTTTATTTATTATTATACTCTGCTCAGTGTACATTTACATACATACACATATATGAACAAACATATGTATCTTCTTATTAATTTTAAGCAACAATTCACTTTCAAAAATCCACTTTATTGAAAGTGCTAAACAAGCGCGAACACTTATGTAAAACTGATTATCAGTTAATTACACTAATAACTTTAAACAAATAAAATTTTATCATTGATTATAAAAGCACAAACATAAAACTATGCACTTGTGTAAGTACGACAAGTGTTTGCCACACATGCCTCTCAGCTGAGTATCTGTTAAAAACTTCGTTGCCGGAGTACCATTTTCAATTAATTTTATTAGTTTATATACGTAGGAATGTATGTACATAAATATATACATAGATATGTGCACACATATGTATATAATTACATGTTAAATATACGCATCACGTACCAACAACAAACAAAAGCTATATATATATATATATATATATATAGGCATATATATAAGAAAAAAAAAATTTTTGTATACCGAATTCGCGAATAGATGCGTTCAACTGTATTTAACACACGAAAATAGATCTTGTCACTGCAAGCGTCTATTTTCAACTGATCGTTGCCAGCTATTTGTTATCAAACTCATAAAATGAAAAAACGAAAATTGGATGAAAGTAGAGATCCGAACTCAGCTGAGCGACTAGCTAGCGTTGCCAGTTTAGCGATGGTAAAATTAATTAATTAATTGATTGAAACCCCGTTTATTTGGTGGGGAAAAATTAAATTTTATGTACCTAACCGAAACATTTACAGCTCTGTGGCAGATCGAGTTTGCCTAATNTACACACGAAAAAATTAATATACATAAGTGGTATTCACCAAAGGAGCAAGTGGCCTGGCAGTCTGGCAAAAGAGCAGATCAGCTCAAGCAACGACTGATCTCAACAGACTGCTAAGCCACTTGTTCACATTCGTGAATACCACTATACATTTCACGAAACTAAGGTCCAAAATATAGTAAAATTGCATCTTTAGTTTTTCTCTTCGAAGTTAGAATTTCTTTTAAAAGGACTTTGAAATATCAAGGTTATACTAATTCAAAAAATTTATTACAAAATTCAGTACTTCTATATTGTAACAAGTTAGGCATAAAAAAAGGACAATTCTGCAAAAATTCAACAAGATTAAACTTCTTGTGCAACAATTACGAATATTTATAGAAACTTTGATCTTGAATATCCTTAAAACTTTTTAGCAGTTATTTGTGAGAAAAAAAGGTTAAAGACTTAAATATATATACACTGCAAAATCGTCGAATTTCCTCCTTATAGCTATATTAGTTTAGCATAAGAAAATTAAACATGCTTTCTCCTTACTTGTCCTTATGAACAAAAAAAAAATATTTATATTTTGTAAGACCTCAGAATTTCTAGATTTCAATGGATTTTTTAAAATAATTTTTTGAATTAATAACAAAATTGCAATTTCAAAGTCTATTTAAAAAATACCTGACATAAGAGAGAAAAACTAAAAACGCAGAGTTTTATTATATTTGGCCCCAAGTTTCGTGATTATACTGAGTCTTTAATGTGCTTGGAAATTTTTGATTTTTATTATGTATGTATTGGGTTATAAGGATCAAAAATATTCAAGATGCCTGGCCATTATACTGAACTTTGAAAAGATATTCATAATTTCTAAAAGTAAAGAGTATAATTGTTTGAAGCTAAACTTCTTTGCGCTCGGTTGAGTGGAAGTAAACTCCAATGAAAACACGAAAAAGCGTAGAAGGGAGGATATGGCGGAGCGCGATTAAGATAATTAAAAATTTGACTCTTACAGACAGTGAAACCAGAGAACGTATATGAATTGATTGTCGTTTTATTACGTATCATACACGTTCTCTGGTGAAACGCAAGAAAATACGAGAAGGGGAAGTAGATTTGTAGTCAAGCGGAGTAGAGGAATAGATTTAAAATTTTTCAAAAACCGGAGTAAATCTACTCAGATCGGAACAAAGTCCGAGCACTGGTAGTGAATGTATTTTTCCAATTTTAACGCTAGTGAGCCACAGATGGTGGGAAAACACAGGTTGCCGACGTGGGTTCGTTCGGAAAGAAATGCATGCACATTCGCAGGGTGCACTTGATGATTAGTTTTTTCTTCCGTTACCGTTATTCGAAAAAATTTGTTTGCTGATGCATTTCCGAACGTTTTTTTTTTGCAGTTATTAGAACAAGTTTGTTTACGATGCTTTTCCGAAAGTGTTTTTTTTGCAGTTTGCTTTTCTTCAGGTTTTAGATTTGAAATTTTTTAAATTTATTGGAATTTTGGTTTTGAATTAGCCGATTAAATTTTATATAATTTAGTGACAGCTCACTGCCTATTTGGATGAAAAATTGCATGAATTTATCAGATGGATGAACTTAAAAGTGTATGTATGTACTTCTACTACCTCAGTGAAATGTTACCGGCATAACCAACCCAATGCCCATAACAGTGTGTATAAGGAGCGGAAAAACCACCACGAAAAGGTAATAGAATGATGAGCTGCATATCCTTTAAACAGCGATGGGCAGAGAGTGGGCTTTTACTCTGCTCGCGGCTATACAAAATGTATAGAAAGCTTAAAGGAGCTTTGTCCGCGGGCAAGGCAGTGCCCATTAGTGCTTAACAACGATGTAGAAATAGTGCGGCAGATTAAAATACAACCGCTCAGCTGTACGTATGAACGGAAACGCTTCGTATCTGATGCTGGTAGCAGAAGAAGAGGAAGGCAACTTCTGTGGTGAGAAGACAAGGGAGAGAAAGACTTGGTTTAACCTGGAATTTCTAATTTGCATCAGTTGGCATATCTTCTCCTATCGAGGAAGGGGAGTTTGTAACAATAACCTGATTTCAAGGAGAGAAGGGCCTTGGCTCGTTGAGCCACCTGCAGGCCACTTGAGTAAGCCTAACTTTGCGGCCCGGTTTTTGGCAATGTATTTCCAGCTTAATTTATTTTTTTTTTTACGAAAATATAGTTTAATCCGACACAAGCATTTAAGCTTCAAACTTTGTGTAAAATTTATTAAAAAAATAAAAAGAAAATCGTGTAAATTGCAAGATTTTAATTAGATTTTGAATATACAGTTTGTAGCCCATTCAATTTTTAAGTGCAAGTTTGAGTTTCTGCGAAATACTGTTGATTTTTGGCAACTTTTTTGCTTACAGGGTGTGCATGGAGGAAAGTGGTCAATAAAATATATATATATGTATGTATATGTATATGGATATATATATATAAATTTCACCAAAATCAACTGTAAGTCCTAGGTTGTTCAAACTTGCCCTTTGTTATATTAAAATTGAAGCCCACCCAGGTGCATATTCAAAATTTTTCCGAAAACTGAAATAATGAACAATGTCAAGCCTAAATATTTTATTTAAAATCTGGATTTTTTCGTTTTTTTTTT